TTCACAGCGGGTTTAAGATACTGCAGTCAACTATCCCTGAGATCTGCAGTACAATAATTTTCTATGCACACTTTCTTTTTTGCAGTGAGTATTATAAAATATTATATCATGTACGTGTCTAACTTGACTTGATCCCATTAATATTCTTGACATGAAATGGATGAATAAGTGGTGTAAACGTAATAATACGGGAAAGGGAAATATAACATGGCTTTGATATACCCAGTAAAGATAATTAATTATATATATATATATTATATATATATATGTATCTGTGCAACAGTGTTGTGTAAGTACCTGACTGAGCTTTTTCTGTGGAGTTTGGCACCCTCTTTATTAATTAAGAAAACTTCTTGTTTAGCTTTGTGTTTTCCTTTAAAATATTTTAAATCCGAAATGTAATTGTTTTGTGAGTATTGGGAAGTATTTAGCTCATTTGACGTTCTAAGAAGTCTGCCTTCAAATGGGGTTTTTCTCTACTTTTTAATCCCTTTTCCTTTTGTGTATCATATCGCTTTTCTTTATGATGCATTTGTATTTTTTTCAGAAAGTCACTGCAGAGGTTCGAGAATTCTTAAGCCAGTTGAAGGAGAAAGTTCTCATTGGTGTTGTTGGAGGATCTGACTTGGTAAAAATTGCAGAGCAGATGGGAGGAAATGACTACTGTAAGTCAATATATCTTTTTCTAAATGCTAATTCAAAAGTAGTAGGCTACTTAGGCCTGAATATGTGTTGGTGATGATATGGGAGTGGTTGTACTTTTGGTGAGAGGCTTATGCCTGGCTCCAAGAAGAGAAAGGAAAACCTCAGCTGCACCATGAACAATTGTCTTAGCTGACACTGACTGGTTGAATGACATGAGCGATCTAGGAAATCCAGGAAAACAGGGGACAGATGAAGTCATGAGGGGTCTAGTAATAGTTTTAGCAACAGTTTTGGCTTTTACACCTTTTGGTAGAAGATTCCCGAGGAACAATAGCTAGTAGTGCTGGGCGGTACTGGTGAAACCCAGTGTCGGTGCCGAGAACCGCCTGTACCGGTACCGGTACTGATGCCGGTACTGGGAGTGACAGCAGGAGGTGACTTCACAGACTGTGCATCTTGCGTCTAACGCCACGATCACCTCCACCGGCACTCCCCCCCCCAACACACACACACACACACACACACACACACACACACACACACACACACACACACACACGTCAGAATTGAAGAGGCGAACTGTGACACAAAATACCTTTGAAGTTTGCCGCGCGCGGGGTTAAAGTTTGCATGCACAATGTTAAAAATAAATATCGCTGCTAAAAATTGATTTCCTTTTCGGAATCAGCGTATCAAAAGAAGCAAAGTGGCTTGCGTGGAACCTGATTTGATACTATATTTAAATTTAAGCAAACTTCGTTTTTGATTGTCAATTTTTAATCTCAAGGCATATATCAAGGTCACCTGCTGCGTTGTGCATCTGACGTCACATCTGCTAGGCTAGGCTTACACACAGCACTTCCCATGGCCCGGTAAAAAACCGTTGGTGCCGGTACTGGAGGCCTGGTGCCGGTACTGACAACTCCTTCGGTAGAACCGGGAGTTCCGGTACTGGGTACCGGTACCAGCCCATCCCTAATGGCTCCTGTTCCCATCCCATATATGTACTCTGCCACCCCAGAAGACTGACAAAACCACTGATTGTACTTATCAAAAACTTTTACGAATTTTTACAACATGAAAATAAAAACTATAATTCTGGATCAACCGAGACCCACAGTGATGTCCGTACACCTTGGGTAATTTTGCACCCCAAGGGTTGTGTTTTTCGCATTTTAGAAAACTTCTAGTGCGAAGATCTCTTTGAAACTTTCAGTATTCTTCAAAAAATCATTTTGACAGATTGTGATGCAAAGCAAATCGCTTTTGGTAATATTTTTTACCAGTGGTTACATTTCAAAACCTTTTTTTTGCGCCCGGTTTGGTCATTTGTGCCATCATCCTCCGAAGAGGAAAAAGTCAGTTATTCTTTATCCATACCTAGTGGTGTGACAGACGACCCCAACACATCGTTTGCATCAAGTACTATGGTTGGGCGCGATCTTTCGATTTGCGCGATGCGCACGGCATTTGGTGGACGAGGTAACGCACGACAATCCATCGATTGTTGTGCGTTCTGTTGATCAGCGGATCGCGTTCGAGCGGATCGCGTTCGATCCGTTTGGTTGCGCATTCTATAGATCTTACCCTTGAGTTTTGTTATGTTTTGTTGTCGTCCAGTGTGTAATTTAGTTTCACTCTCCAAAGTCAAACTGAAACTGAATGGAAGTAACTGGAAGTCAGGGTTACAATAACGAACTAATCAAAGTGATTATTCGAGTCCGAATAGACAAAAATTATACTCGGACTCTGACTTGAGTCCAGTATGATGTCCGTTCCGACTTCCGACCCTTGTTTCTAAATATTTCCAGCATTTATTAACTTTAAAAAAAAATTATAATGATAACAATTGAAACGTGAGCTTTAATATCCAGTTACTAGATCTATCTAAACTGGTCCCCCCTGCGTCATTAGTATTAATAACAAAACTAAGTTGAGAAGGGGGCAAAGTTAATTAATTATGTCGACCAATGAGACTGCGCGTAGCGATATCGCACTCTCGGCTTATGGGGGAAGAGGTCACGGCTGTCGATTTTGTGCGATGTGATTTTTTTTAAAATTACAGAAAAACTCAACACTCAACAAAATCAAATTAAACATGTGGAAAGACAAATGGTGATGGAAGTTATGATGATGCTGCAGTGGTGGTGGAAAGACCCTAAGTTGTTGGTTTCTGTGTGTTAGACACTGCTATCGGGTAGATCTAATGAGAGTGCAATCAGGGTTAGGCCTATAGGTCGGTGAGTATCACTCACTGACGTGCTCAGTAAACCAATTTTCTTTTTTTTAAAATTCACTTCATCATCATAGTTTATCGACAGAATGAGCCGTAAGTATATAACATTTCATGGATCGACAAAAAGCGCTGCGCGATCCGCTGATCAACAGAATGTGCAACAATCGATGGATTGTCGCATGTTTCCTCGATCAACCAAATGCGCTGCGCGGTCGATGGATCGCGCAAATCGACAGATCGCGCCCAACACTAGTAATCACTACTTCCAAATTTTCCAACATCTGGGTTTCTGTTGTTCCCGCTATTGCAGTTGAGCTGGAGACATCTGAAGGCCTAATCATCCTACATTATTTTATATTAAGACTGATTGTTGTTGGCAGGTCTGACACACACTGCAGCACTTGACAGTTGAATAAGTATCAATACTTTTCTTTTTAAAGATCACATTTATAATTTATAATTGAGCCTAACCACACACTGGCTAAAATGCTGAAGATTCGTAAATGATCAAACCTAGATTTACTTGTGAAAAGGATGAATCTGTATTTATGTATATCAGTCGTTTGGAGCTTGTCTGGGAATCCAATTCATATAGATTGCCCCGGTTCAAACCTAGCTGGCTTCAAACTTTGTGAGCGTGAGAGACAGACAGGCAGACACAGACAGACAGAGAAGAAAAGTAATACTAATAGTGATAGAGAGAAGGATAAATGGTTTCTTTTTCTATTTTAAATTGTAGAAGAATGAAGCCTCTGTTACATGTTACATGGAACAATAAATTGTACAACAGTTAGACAATCTTAGGTTCATATACAAAGCATTACTTATAACTGCAAAATTATTTAAAAATTGGGCGGTTGGATGATAGGTTGGAGACCTGATCAAGAGATTAAGTGCTACCTGATATTTTTTTTTTGTACGATCTTGGTCAGATCTGGGAAAGGTGAGCTGGAGGTTTGTGACTGCATGCATAGTTAAAAACATAATTGTAGCTAAAAACTGATTTCATTTTCAGAATCCGTGTATCAAAATAAGTAAAGTGGCTAGCAAGGAGCCTGATCTGATGTGATATTAAAACTTTGGCAAATTTTGTTTTTAAATTGTTCATTTTGAATCTGATGTCATTTAATCAAGAACACTCTCTGTGTTGTACATCTGATGTCAAAGCTTCAATAGCTGCACAGTCACTGTTCAGTATACAGTATGGAGACTTGATCGAAAGACACTGATGTTCTGTTTTTTGAGATGTATAGATCCATTGAATGTTTGTGGACAATTAAGCCCTGTTGAGATTACAGTAAACAAATTAATTAACTCACTGACCCTGAAATTGATTGCTACTGTTTGATGGAATTGATTTTTAAAAAAAGCAACTCTACTTCTTTCACATGTGCTTCAACTCAAAATAAAGAATGGACATACACATACAGACAAAGAAGTGTAGCTTCCGTCAGAGATGCCTCTTACAAAGTTATATTTACATTCCTATTTTGATGAAAAACTGCTGATATCTGTGTACATTACTTCAGCAAACACCAGTAGCTGGGAGCAGCTGCTCGACATTTAGGGAAAAGGCTTTGGCTGTGTGGGAGCAGCCTCTCATTTTTCATGACTT